ATAATTTAATATCGACTGAAAGAAAATGTTACTGAAAATAAGATGTAGAATGGTATTTTATCTTGTATTCACATTGTATGATAGTTATGATGGGTAGTTACTAATTTAAGTGAGGAACATCTGGAACTCAAAACAATTGTCAACCAACAACAAAGTCAGAATTCTTAATACAAATGTCAAGACAATTCTATTGTATAGGGCGGAAACCTGAAGAACTAAGAAAGCCATCATCCAGGAGATACAAGTGTTTATTTACAGTTGTCTACACAAAATACTTAGGATCCGTTGACCAGACACTATCAACAACAACTTACTGTGGGAGAGAATAAATCAGATCCCAACGGAGGAAGAAATCAGGAAGAAGCGCTAGAAGTGGATAGAACACACATTGAGTAAAGCACCGAACTGCATCACAAGGAAATCCCTCACATGGAATCCTCAAGGACAAAGGAGAAAAAACAAAGAACACATTACGCTGAGAAATGGAGATAGACATAAGAATGTACAGCATTTGGATGGAACTGGAAAGGAAGGCCCAGGACAGAGTGGGTTGAAGAATGCTGGTTGGCGCCCTATGTTCCATTGGGAATAACAGGCGTGAGTAAGTAAGTAAGTAAGTAAGTAAGTAAGTAAGTAAGGTTACTAACTTACCAAGATTATAATACATTGCAGCATAATATGATATGATTATAATGAATAATAACAATACCGTAAAGAACAGTCAGCTCCAATGACGAGACTATAATTTATGGAAGAGCCAATCAGATTTAAGATAATAGGTCTTGAATCTTGGCGTAATATTCATTCATTTATTTGACTGAATAGCTTTTTGGCATTTTAGCTGATATCATTTCGTGATAGAAAAAACAATAAATCTAATTTGTAACTCTAACCATCAATTGTAATTCATAATTCTAATTCATCACTCTAGTTTATAACCCACATTTAGTCCTAGTAAGCAGATGGATATTTTCAAGGTCAGTTTTGTGTCGCTCATAGGTCGTTCATAAATTATAATCTCACCAAATAATATTTTACAGGCAGTCTCTTTCATTCGTATTCAGTTAATCAAGTTACCTATAAGTTTATTTGTTCAAATATTTGAGTAAGTCGCCTTGACTACAGTTATCATGTAGCAAAAAGACTCTTAGATTTCTCAAACGACCTAATTAAAAAAAAACTTGATGCGTGAATTACCTCCATTAATTCTGATGATATAAATCATTTTATCTAGTTCTTGTTTGTTATAAAGTGAAATTTTCAAGAAATTAACTGTACCAATATGAATTATAGTTGCTTTTAACAATGAGATCAAGATCATTATATGATGTTCCCTAGAAGATGAAAGTATCCGACAATGTATTTCAACTGAGTATTCAGCTACAACCGATTAGGAACTTAGTCAACATAACATATATTTAGTACAAACGTTTTCATAATCGGTTACTCAAGTTGTTCACTGTGTCTAATCATATCTTCAAATATCAAAACTAATCATACTCGGAGAATTTGGAAAAATTAGCTAATCATTGTTTTGCAACATTGAATTCATTCGTTATGAAACCTGCAATCATTAACCAGTCAAAGGCTATTCACCAGTCAGTTATCTGATTTTACTGAGTCTATGAAATTAATAAGTTTTCCATTTGAAGTCTAAATAAGGAGCCGTCACCAATGGATTTCATACATATCATGTATGAACCATTTAACCACTAATGAAATTAAAAAATATTTACACAGTATTAAAAATTGATTGAAGACAGAATTGTAAACTATTGAGTGTAATCCAAATGGTCTATGAGAACTTAAGATCCTGGACTTGATCCTTGATAGGTTAATATATCGACATAGATACAGAGTCTCATACTAGAACAAAATAGTAGTCTAGAAGTTTCTGGCTCTCAATGGTTGTTTAAATACAACTAGTTAGTGTTGTAAACGATGAAAATCAATTGAGTGATTTAATTTAATAGTTGAATTCATGAGTCATTTGAAGCTAGACCACCATGGAAAACCTGGAAGCACTGAACGGCTGTTTCATCTTATTGTTGGACTCCTTATCAGTGTGCATTCACAATCTCGCTCCCGGGATTCGAACGCAAGACCTATCGATCTCGCGCGTAGATACTTGACCTCTAGACCACTAAGCCAGAATTATTTAATATCACTAATTCCATTGAATTAACATTGACCATTTTTAACAGAATGTAGTTGTACAATGAAATACTATTAAAGTATTATTATTATTTTTTAGCTTATAATCACTCCTACATTAATAAACAGGAATTACAAATGTTTCGTCCAAATATAGAGATAATTGAAGTTCTGTTTATCTTCTCTTACAAGGACAATTAACTAATCAATCAGTCAATCAATTATGTTTGTCTCTTTGATTGTTTAGTCTTTTCCTTTCTTTCTTTCTTTCTTTCTTCCAATCTTGTTTCTTTTCATTACTTTTGAAGTGTATACTCTAAATAGAATGATAAATGTTTAGTATAGTTAGTAAATTTTTCATTTATTCTATATGAAAAAAGATAACCAAATAAATAATGAAACATTTACATTCTGGCTTTTATTTATTTTCAACAGTTGAGATCATCAGACAATCGAAGCTAGACCACCATGGAAAACTTGGAAGCACTGGACGGCTGTTTCGTCCCACTGTGGGATTCCTCATCAGTGCACATCCACGACCTCGTGTCGTGGGGCGTTGTTTTTGCATTGACAAATTGTTCCGCACCATTTACCTGGATCATTACTATCAAATTTTGTTGCTGTTTGAATATTGAAATGTTCACTTTCATGATCAGGAAAAAATCAGTATTCTGTTTATTTGTTTGTTTGTTCGTTTGTTCGTTATGTAATCTTTTACAAATCTGTTTTATATAATTGATGAATTGGTAAGTAATTAAATTGGTAGATAAATAAATAGATAGATCATTGATATTACAGTAGTAAATATTATCGAATGATACACTCTCTTAGACGTACATACACACTTCCATTTTGTAGATGTACAACTACACATTGAAGTGATAATAATAATAAGAGCGAAGAAAACGACAGAGTGATAGTAAGTGTCAATAGTTAAAATCATGAGTCAATTGAAACTACAGCACCACGGTAAAACTAGAAGCACTGGATGGCAGTTTCGTCCTAGTATGGGACTCCTTGGCAGTGCGCATCCACAATCCCAACCCCGGCGAGATTCCGACCCAGGACCTATCCGTCTCGCGCGCGAGCGCATAGCCATTAGTTCACTGATAGTAAGTTTGTTGATGTAAATATCAAAGAGATAAAATAATAAACAGAAACAGATTACTACATATGATACATTCTTATTCGTATTCAATAAAAATGGGAATGAAGGGAAGATGTACACATTTCACAAGATAAACGTATGAGCAAGCAAAAAAAGAGAAGGAAGAATTGTTTTTATCCCTATTTATTTATACTTTTCTATTTTCATTCCTTCCTTTATGATGATTACAAATTCATTAAATTACAATACCAATAATATCACAACAACAATAATAGTAATAATATGAGTAGTCATTTAGAGTATCACAAAAACTTAATGTCTATATTATCTTTTAACTTAAATCCAATTTGTATTTAATGTACACATAAACACACACACACACACGCATACACACATAGAGAAAGACAGACATTGGCAATTTGTTATCCATCAACCTATTCTTTAAAACTAACCAGATCAAGAGACAAAAAGAGAACGAGCCAGCCAGCCAGCGAGTGAGCAAGCGAGACAGATAGTGAAAGAAAGACGAATTGAATAGGATTGAATACAATGAGTAAATAGAAAAAATAATAAAAAAAAAACGAAATTATAATAGTAAGAAAGTTTTAAAATGAAAACATAGAAATCCAATAATAAATAATAAATTAATGAAAACTTATCTTTACCTATTCATAAGAGTGTTGTTATTCAGTTGAATTCATCCACTTGATTGAGTAATAGTAATAATAATACTAATAGTAATAATGATAGTAATGGTAATAGTAATAATAAGTATTTGATTATAGAGAAAGTCAAAATAGAGAAAAACTGATCATTGGACTATAAAATAGTGAAATAAACTAACAAATAAACAAGTACTCTGATAATATGTACTTATGTATGTAAATGAGTTATGCATGATTAGTTGAATCGTGTAAAAGACAGAAAGAAAGAAAGAAAAAAGAAAAAAAAGAACAAAATCAAAGTTAACAACAATATGTCTATATACACATCAATGAATAAGTAAGCAAATAAAACAAATACTGCTTTACTACATTTATAACTATTCAACTATAAGTACAGATTTATAGTGTTTTATTGTATGTTAAAATAGTGAATAGATAAAAACACTTTAACTGACAACTAATATATCATTCTATGTGTATGATTACCGATGTGTAGTATGACAGAGGGAAAAAACACATCTATTAGAGTAGATACAAAAAATTTTTTTCCAAACTCTTCCCTTGAAATACCATTTTTCTTTTCTATTAGTAACTATTGAAGTAGGAAGTTTATCTAAAATAAAAAAACACACTCACACACACACACACAAACGGTTTGATTACGTCATTGGATTATTTGATTTATTACTTTGAATAATGTATGATGAAAAAGAGTTTTACTGATCAAAATGTTATTTTGTTTATACTGTTACATTCATATATATGTGTTATTTTGTTTGATTTCTTTTTTATAAATAATGATAAATGATTTTAAAATATCAATAACTAATCTTAGTTAGACAACCATTATGAACTTAGTAGCACTGGATAATTGTTTCATCTTACTACGGGACTGCTCAGCAATGCATGTATGCAAACTTATAACATCATCATCATCATCATCATCATCATCATCATCATCATCATCATCATCATCATCATCATCATCATCATCATCATCATCATCATCATCATCATCATCATCATCATCATCATCATCATCATCATCATCATCATCATCATCATCATCATCA